GCAGTTTATGGAGGGGCTTCGAAAATGGATCAATTCAAAGAACTCAAACCTGGTGGTATTGAAATTCTAGTGGGCACTCCAGTAAGTTAAAATGATTGAAAATTTATTAGAAGAAAATTGTTTTTTATAGATATCTCCAATATTAAATAATAGGGAAGAATCATTGATATGATAAAGATGAAAGCGACTAATTTTAGACGAGTCAGTTTCTTGGTTCTTGATGAGGCTGACAGAATGTTTGATCTTGGTTTTGGTCTGTACAATTTCTTGGTTCCAATTTTTTTTTGCTGCGAAAGTGGTTTCTTTACACACATTTTTTATTTTTTTATAATAGAGCCACAAGTACGATCTATATGTGACAGCATTCGACCGGATAGACAAAGTATGGTTTGAATTATCTTGATTTTATTATATTTAACATTAGGGATACTAGACAAATATCAATACATTCATACGCGATACAGCGTTACTTTTTAGTGCGACGTTTCCAAAAAAAGGTTGAGATATTGGCTCGAGAGGTAACCTCAGAACCTGTGAGAATTTCAATTGGAAATGTTGGTCAGGTATGTCAACGAAAATAATTAATTATTATTATTATTATCATTATCATTATTATTATTATTTAGCTTTTAAATCATTTTAATTAGGCCAATACCGATATAACGCAAGTAATAGAAATTTTAGCCGATGATGGATATAAATGGGAATGGTTGATCTCACATTTGGTGGCGTTATGTGTTGGTATGCTCGTCACATATGGTTCAAGTTTAAAAAAAGTATACATAGCATCGTTTCTGATTTTTTCTCATTTTTCAAGAGGGCAGCGTTCTTGTCTTTGTTAGTCGCAAAGGTGGTGTAGAGGAATTGTCTATTAATCTCCAACAGACGGGACATAAATGTAAGTTACATTTATCTTGCAAGACTTCTTAGTTCGCAGCTTTTCAATGGTCTATAATTACAGGTGGTGCCCTACATGGTGATATGATGCAGTCTGATCGTGATAAGGTGTTGAGAGATTTTAAAAACAATAAATTTCCGATCATGGTTGCAACTGATGTTGCCGGTGAGTTTTTTGGTAATTTATTATATTAGCTCGAATATTATAAGCTAATTTTAGCCTCGAATTTGGAATAAAATGTTAGCAAGAGGCCTAGATATCAAGGCCGTTAAAACCGTGGTTAATTATGATGTTGCGCGTGACATCGATTCACATGTGCATCGCATTGGAAGAACTGGTAGAGCCGGTAAGGGGACAAGAAAGAAAAGGTTATTTTCGGTTTATAAAAAATAGTTACTCAAAAATTTTTTCACAGGTGAGAAAGGCACAGCGTATACCCTTATTACTCAGAAAGAGGATAAATTTGCAGGAGATTTGGTTCGAAATTTGGAATCTTCGGGACAACCTGTCCCAGATGCTTTAATGAGTCTTGCAATGCAGGTGAATACTTTATAAATAGACCGAATTTCAAAGACAAAGCTTATGTTATTTAACCATTCACTATTGTATAGAACGCAAGGTTTAGAAAATCCAGAAGTATGATACGAGGTCGTGG